CGGAACTGGGGATTGAACTCAGATCCTTGCATTTGCCAGTCAAGCGCTTATCCTACTGAGCCATCTCCCCAGCCCCTATACTGTATTTTTTAATCATTTAAATATTTTATTATTTCCAGGCATTCACTTCAGTTCTGCTCTGTATTCATTTTCAAATTAAGTCACTGCTTACCATTAGTCCACAGGATTTTTTTTGTGATAGTTTTCAACTGACTGACACTAAGCTCCAAATCTACTTTTTAACCTATCTGTAAAAAGGTCTAAGCTCTGCCACTTGTATAGCCCTGAGAGGAAATGCCTTTTTAATTTTTACAACCTAAGCATTTCATATTCACTCTAGCTACTATTCCAAGCTGTCTGGGTGAGTTTAATTTCTCAGTTCTTTTGTTGCTGTTGCTAATTGATTTGCTGGCACTGGGGGAGAGGGTTAAGTCAAGAGGCACTTTACCAATGAGCTACACCTCAATCTTTTTCTATTTTTTATTCTGAGACCGACTCATGTTAAACTGCCCAGACAGAACTTGAATTTGTGATCTTTGTTCCCCTGCTTTGTAGTGTTGGGATTACAAGAAGCAGCACTGGTCCTGTCAGTGTTTTTGTTGTAGTTCATGTTAAAGCATATTGTGAGGCAGTTTCTTTCTGCCATATTAAATTTAGCAATCTGTTCTTTCTTAATACCACAAAAGCAACAATAGAAACACAACCTTAAAAGACTTCATAATCTACCATGGATTATAAGATTCTCTAGTGTTGTGGCTCAGTAGTAGAGTACTTGTCTAGTATATGTGAGGTCTTAGGTTCAACCTCTAGCACTGAAACAAGGTAGAAAAAGGACATCTTCTATAAAACATGACTAAAGAAAATTAATGTGAAAGTTCTATCTAAAAAGGGGCTGCAGATGCAGCACACAGATAGAGCCCATGTATGTATGAACTCCTAGGTTCTAATCCCAGCTTAAAAGAAAAGACAGAAAACATAAAGTTATGTTGCTATTATTTTAAATTACAATTTAAATCTAAACATGATTGTCTATACTATTATTTTTTATCAGTTTTGAAAAGTAAAAGCTCAACTTACTTGATCTTTCCTTCCACTAATTGTTAAGTTACTTATGGCCCAAGCAGCTTCTTTCTGAGTGCCAAAATCCCCCTGCAAAAGAAAAGAAAAGAAATAAAGCAAGACTTCCGACTGCAATACAGGTAGGATAAACTAGGAGAAATGTATTGTGAGATATTTTTTAACTCTTTACTTCCCAAGTTTTCCTTCTAACTTTTCTTGTGTATTGAATTTTTACTTAAAATAAACCTAAGAAAAACAAAAACAAAAACAAACTTTGAACTATATCCAGTCTACACTAATAAAATATAAACTCGTTTTTGTAAAGTCTCCTGGAAAGACTTGATATTACTGCAAAATATATTGGATTAAATGAAATTGACAATACGGGGAACTGGCACTAAACAGTAAAATATATATATTTTTAGCTGTAGATTCAAAAATCCTATATATAACCTGGAAAAAAAAAGCTATTTTTTAAAGCACTACTATTTTTTTTTTTTT